CTCCTGCCTTTCTTTTGCCCCTTGCACCATAGGCACAGACACAGAGGCACAAGGGCAGTTCAGGCTGCAAAAATCCCTGTCTTCAAGCTCCAGTTCCACAACATTAAGTGGAGTTAGAGATCTTGCTGGACACACTCAAGGCCAGTGAATTATAAGGCCTTTACCCACACCCTTAGCACATCTTCTCTATCTGGGCTTTTTCATTCATGGCAACATCAGTTTAGATCAGTCTAGTTAAAAAACTCGCTCATTTCCCACCGTCTCACAGGGACAGAAGTTCATAAAACACATGTCTAGCCAACAAGGGTTAGAAACTTTTCCCTCACCAAAGACCAGATGACTATTTCAGGCCACAGACTGCATCAGCCCTAAAAATCAACACTGTAGGAAGGATGAAATGAAAGACACAGCACATGAAATGAAAGAAACATGCATGCATCTGCACTGGAGCATTATTAGGACTGATATTTTAGTCATGTAAATAAGGCCACCACCTCTGCAGCAGAGCAGTCCAATCCCACATGTAGCCAGCCTCGGCACAGCCACGATTCCAGCCTCCCAAGAGGAGAGGGCCTCTCTCAACGACAAAGAGGAAACACCCCCAGCAGAGCCAACATGAAGAAAACCCTCAAAACCATCGCACACTACCCCAAGCTCACTCCTTTGCCTTGTTTGTGGGGGTCTGTGCCATACTGAAAACTGGTTTAGCACAAGTCCCAGGAGCAGTTCCTCTCCAGTGGCACAGGGAGCCTGGGAAGCTGGGCACACACTCACTGAGCAAAGCCCCAGGAACTCTGCTCTGGCTGAGGCTGTCAGGAGCAATACCTCAGCTCAGCCATTTCAGCTTTTCTGTCCCACACTAAATCACATCACTGACTGTCAGAGAGTGAACACCTTCAGGGCACGAGCCTCAAGCCTATCCCTAAGCCACAGAAAGCACCAGCCATCTCCCTGTCATAGGATCAAAATGTCCATCTGTTCTCAACACTATCAGCTCTCCTTTCTCCACATCTGATTTTATTGTGCTTGCTTCCTGGCGGCACACACTGAACTTCTTGGCCTCAAAATGTTTATATCTATCTTGGCCAGGAGCTCCCACTGGGAGCAGCCGCTGCCGAGCCCTGGGGAGCGTGGTGGAGACACACAGCTGATGACAAGACCAAGGCTCCAACCCCCATCCCCCCACATCTCCCGGCAAGGGCTGAGGCTGCCTTTGGCCAGACCTGTGGCATCTCAGTGCTTGCATGGCCAGAGGAGTGACCCAGAGCAGTGTTGCCCCAGCCACCCACCTTGTCCTTGACAGCCGGTACCTTCCCGCATCGGACAGCCAGGGCATCTCCCGGCATCATTCAGTCGGAAGAATGTGCATGGAGGACATAGGCATGTGTTGGGTTCGACATTGGAAATTTGATTGGAACAGCTGTGCCGGCTGGGCCTTAATTGCAGCTGATTAATGTTTTTGGCACTCAGCGTGCAGGCTCTGTTTTGGGGCAGATTTCTCTGGGGCTTTGATTGCACCTTTTGAATAAAGTCAGAATTTAAAGAATTGAAATTGCTTTCCAACATTCACAGAAAAATGGGGTGAACTGGGTAGGGAACAAGGAAGCCCTGCTTTCGTTGTGGCATGGCACTCTTTGGCTGATCTCGTCCAAATGAGGATGCAATCCCTACAATGTGGTCCTTTGAATGACCCCACCACAGCTGGATGGTGCCCAGGCTGGCTGAGAGCTTGCAGCATTTTTGGGGTTTGTTTCTTTCCTTTTTTCTTTTCTTGTACTTTTCCAGACCACTCTTCTCACCTCAACCCTTCATCTTTCCCATTCTACCCATGCCAGAACAGACTGCCCCTGTTTTCCCACCCCCTTTCCTCCCTGCCCCCTTCCCCATGCTCTTTTCTTCTTCTAGAGCTCCAAGTTTTGCAGGACCACCAAGCCAAGGCTCCTTCCAGCCTCAGGCACAGCACGGGGCTTCCCATTGCCTCTTCTGGAGAGAGCACATGGAACAGCTTCACTAATGTGATCAGTCCTCACAGGGAAGCAACCCTTCTGCCCAAAAACCTTGTAGAATCAGACTTCTGACAAGTCTCTTTCCAAGGCTTTTAAGTTCCTTGCTCTGTCACTCTTAGCTGAAGAAAAGAAGTGTTGAAGACAATTTTGAGCTCAGTTAGGACAGCTCACCCTTGGGAGGAACACAGGCTTCACCTTAGAAATTGCCAAACTGTACAAAATCCACCCACCACAAGCTCAGGGATCTTGTCTCCAGCAGTAACCAGCTGCAGATCTTTTAACGGCAGCTACAGCCAAGTAAACACAGAGTACTCCTTTCTCATCAAGCACCTGAAGATTTAGTTTTTTGGGGTTTTTTGGATGAGGGAGGTGTGGGGCAGGGGGGCATTGATGTTCCTTCTGAAATGCCTTTTAGCTTTTGCTGTAATCTTTTTGAGTAGTTTTATTTTCCCCGGGTTTAACATTCATACCTCCTTGGCTTCCTCCATCCCACAGCAGTGAGCTGGTCCATAAGAACCATTTCTTTTTATCATCTGTGTATCTACTCTCACTTCCACGTTTTGATTCACCACTCCGCTGCTTTCATGACACGTGCAGTAACAAAGCCCCCACCTCCCTTCTCAAGAGCATCACGAGTTGTCACTTGGCACTTTCAGCCTCTCTCTCCTTCCTACTTAGAGCTGTCCCTTGGAGTCCATATGAACCACGGCAGAATTCACCCTGACCACCAAGGGAAACCCACAGTTCTTAGAAGACTTCACCGGGGCCCACTCATGGCTGCAGGCAAGGTTTCAAGACAGCCTGAACTTTAAAGCACCCGCCTGAGTGTCCATAGGATGAGGCAGAAGGCCTTAGAAAGGCTGGAGCACTCACTCCCTCAACTCCCAATCATCCAATACAGATTTTACTTTGCTCAGAGCCCTTCAAAGGCTTTCCTCTGCACCAGAGGGAGAATTAGTGTTGTAGCAAGATCCTCACTTGTTTGGGGTGCTTTTGTAACACTGAGGGAACTTTTGTTCCTTGAGAGCTTTTACCCCTTACCAGAAATAGTCTATTCTTATCCCTTAATAGAAAACGGTTTGCACAACAAACAACACTCAGTTTTGATGCCTCTGTTCATTTTTTGAAACTGACTCTCCATGGACCGTGTGAAGGCAAATGAGTTGTAGGTATGAGAGGGGAAGCAAAAATTCCAAATATGTGACGTTCTCGGGTCCTTCCAATGAAGATAAACTGGGAAGTTTGCAACTTCTTTCAACTCCTTGTGTTGAGTAATGGGAAGTAATGCTTTCCTGAATTTAGGATTATTAAATGCCAGATTCTTCTGTGCCTTCACAGCAAAGAGGTTTTTGTGCTGCAGGTAATCACTGCCATGGAGAAATCATTCCAGCAAGGAGCCACAGCTTCTGCCTTCTGGCAGATGCCAAGCAGTGCCACCAATTGCTGCAGCAGCTCCTCCCAACAGCCCCCTGCGAGAGCACAGACATCAAGGCCTCTTGGCTCTGGCTACCCTCTGGCAGGGAAGTCCGCAGCGGGCACAAGTCTTTGGGGTAGGAGATGGGCACCACTCCTGCCAGGACTTGGGGCAGTGGCAGGTCTCCTTCAGCAGGGACTTGCCAGACCTGCCACTTTCGGTGCAGCCCTGGCCAAAGGGATCAGAACAGCATTCGTGCCCTTGCCCACGTATTTGCTTCTCTGTGCAACACCTCCTGTGTTTGTGATGGCCACCAGCCAGGATTTCTCCCAAGGAGGCCATGCCAGCTTCTGTGCAGGCCCCGTGCCCTTCCCGCTGCGGCTGCGTCAGCAGCCAAGGGGGCTCTTTCTGCTGCCATGAGCAGGCACAGGAGGGGAGTGTTTGCTCCTTTTTGGAGACGTTCCTAAAGTTCACGTCCAGCTGTCTGAGACACTTTAGGGAATGGATTCCTTGCAACCTGGAGCAGGTTGGCTGGGCTGGGGGAGGCCCCCGGGCACGTGGCAGTGTGTCACAGGGCCCTTTGTGACACGGTGGTCATCGACAATGGGATGGGGCAGTGTGTCCAAGGGCCCTTTGTGACACGTCCTGATATAGGTGTTTGGTGACAACGCAGCCACGCCACTGTGCTCGGAGCACGCGTCTGGACAGGACGGGACAGAGCGGTGCTGTGAGGAGTTTCCTTGCAGCCAACTCGTTCCTCACTGACCCGAAGCATTTCCGAGGATTTTTCTTCTATCAAGATCTCTCGAGGCCAGACCACAGGAGCTGGTGACCCGGAGCTTCTCTGAGGCACCACCACTCCTGGTGGAAGGCGCCCTCGAGGACAGGTCACGGGAGTTGGTGACCCAGAGCTTCTCTGGGGCATCATCACTCCCTGTGGAAGGTGTCCTTGAGGCAAGACCACAGGAC